TGTTTAAACCACAGTTTTCCCATATAATGCAGGTTTAATGCTACATTATTTGTATCCTTTCTCTCTCACTCTGTTCTTACTCCTGCTCTTTTCACTCTGTTCATCTCTCTGGATGTTTTCCTGTCCAAGTGCATTGCATTTGATCTTTCGCTCTCTTTTCTATTCTTTCAGTGCTTTTAGTGTTCCTGAAGCCTAGATCTCCTACCCTGAAAGCCCATCATTCTGTACTTTCCTTTCCAGTGAAGTTCAGGTTGCTTTTGTACAGGTATCACGTCTTAGGAGAAGCTGCCCATCCCAAAGCCTTGGAGAAGCATCACTTAACAGTTTTGCTTTGCAGTTTTACCCGTGTTGGAGAATTTAAACATGTTGTTTACATGCCTTAGCGTTTGTGACAAGCCAGGGTAACAGGATTAACAACTCTTTTATCCTTTTCACTTTTCCAGGAATTCTAGTTCTTGAATTCAGTGATAGTAATAGCACTTTTTCTTGTTGCCACGTAGAAATACGAACACTGTCGACACGATTCTACCTCCTATTACTATTACTGAATGTGATCCTTCCTAACCTGTAGAGTCTTAAGCAGTGTATATATATTTGGGTGTTTTGAGAATCATTTCAAATGTACTGCTCTAATCTGGATTGCAGAGTTTGTTTATTGGCAGTTCAGGATATAAATTCAGCAGCCCGACTCTATCATACTGACTCCACTGGGAGTGCGTCTGCCTCATGTTTTCTACGGCATCATCTGCACAAGGTGTTGACTGCTGATTTCTTGAGTGTAATACTGAACTTTACCAAATCCTCCGCTTGCATAAGAGATCTTTCTGTCATACCTGTTTCAGTGAATGTAAAAATGGAAACACAAAGATGATCTCGTGTACAAGCTTTTATTTTAACATGTGATTCCGTGTTTAAAATGTGAACATGTAAATATGTTTATTGTACCTAAAATATGTCAATAAAACTTGATTTTTATAAGTTCATACGTTGTCGCTTGGTGTACAGCTTGAACTTAAAACTTCTAGAAAAGGGCTTTATATACCAGATTATTTTACTATTTTTATTATGGTAGCATCTCTGGGCCTCTACTTTTACATCAGCATCATAGCATGGGGTTCTTCCACAGCTGTGCAAAGGATGGAAACGAAAGTGGTTGAGGATAAGTGATGGTAAAAGGGACTTGTGCTTGTGTGCCTAGTTCAAAGGGTCTGGAGCCTAAGAAGGATCTTGTAACATACGTAGAGGAGAAAAGCTTTTCAGTGTAAAAGGTTTTCTTGTGCTTTTTAGCCATACTGACATGTGTAATAAAAGATCTCTACTTTCAAATATTTCCTATCTTAATTTATAAACTAAAGAGAGGCCCTTGGCAAGCTCAATTTGGTCACCATCAATTATTTTCTGAACACATTATATCAACATAAATGGAGGCTAATTCCACTGGTCTATTGTGTCTCAAGAAAAGAGGTCAGAATCAACTGTCTTGCACTTGGTAGGGGTTTTAAGTAGTTTTCTAAAATTATTCACAGAGTTAAATGTAAAAAACCCCACTGTCATCCTGGTGTCACTGGAAGTGGCACCTGTGATCCAACATACATGTTTCCAGGGAAGCATTACTAACATGGCACATCATTCCTGGGGATACATGTCAAGAGAACATCATTAGCTGGGGACAGAGTATTGATACCCCAAGTTGTTTTTTCTGCTTTTGCCCTGATAGAGGACATGTAGTTACAAGCAACGCAGTAAACTTAGAAGGCTCATCAAGGTAAAAAAAAATGCCTCTCTAATGCAGTGATTTAAATAGTGAGCCATGTAGGGATAACCATCTTTGTTTACAAAGTTCCAACTTAGTTTTCAGCTTTTGATTTTGTTTTGAATTAACAATAGGAGCACACTGTAAATATCCGTCTAACTGCAGCATGGCCTCTTTCACATCTCCTCCAGATAAGGCTCCAACCAAAGTAAACTTCAGTAAAACCCCTCAAACCCCAAATGTGATGAGTTCTATCTCCTTGTTTCTTTGTGCTTTCTTTCCCTACTGATGTTGATCTGTAGTCTTGGGGCAGGAATTTGTGTTTTAGTGAAGTTGATGCACTACAGAGCATCGACCCAGCAGTCCACTCTTGCCATGGGTTGGCCATTGCACAGCACGGGGGAAAAACAAGCTCCCTTTTTGAGAGTGCAGGCAAGGGTTGGGCATACAAGTCTGTTGTCTTTAGGAGTTAAAATGTCCTGCTGATGAACTTGTCATTTTGGAAGGTTGCAGGATTCCTGCAGGGATGCGCTTTGAGAACTGGAAGGCGGACAACTGCAAAGAGATGGAGGAAATCAGTGGGGCTAAAAAGTAGTTATTGAAGGGATGGAAAGGGAGTGACCAAGGGAGGTAGAAATAAACCTTTAAAATCAAATATTGAGATGCCTAGTGGAGAGCTTCAAAAATAAGTCTTCATTGGCCTTAATTAATTTGTAATGATTTGGGCAGGAAGAGTTGCCTGTGCTCACCAAAGTGTGATGGGAGACAGATGAGGGAGGGCTCAGAAGAGAAGTAGGGTTGGAGTATCTTAGAGGAATTGGATGAACTAGAGAATTAGAATAATAGAGATGATATTAAATTTAATCTTGCAAAGTGCAAGAGTATGCACTCTGATATTAATAAAT